CATATAATATTATTGTGTAAGGTTTTGATATGCCATGAAATAGCCTTATATTTGTGCTCATTTATGCTTGCTTTTGGCTCAAATGTTCGTGCAAGGAAGTCTGAAATGACACTAATCTTAGGAGAAAACGAGGCTTAAAAGCACAAGGGAAGCACCTGAAGGCACACCGGGGAACGAATGAGCAAAATGATAGCGTGAAGGTCATTCATGTAATGGGAGCCAGAAAATTCATGTAAGGGGAGTCAGGATCATAGAAAATCTGCATTCCAGATCGAATCGCAGGAAGATCGTCCGTCTATCCAAGGATCTAATCTGGATTCCTCCGTCTAGGCGAAGGATCGAATATATTTTCGCCCTAATCGAATCCAGCGAAGGTTCCCTGCTTCATAAAATGGCCGATTAAGGTGATTCTCTTCTAGATCGCCGCTATCTTCTCCAATTTTACTTCTGAAAACCTCACAATCGGCTTTCCTCGACCCTCTTCTGCTTCAAGATATCTCCTTCGCAATAGATCAACTCAATCGCTCTCAAATCTGGAATTTGCATAACATTGAGGCGCGATTTCTGGAAAGTGGACACAATCTGACCACAAATCCCCCATCTGATCATCAATCGAAGCTTCTGGAGATCTCCTTGACACTGTCGCTGATTGCGCGATCTCCAGCGACGTTGCCGCTATCGGAAACTGCTCCGCCGCTGCCCAATGTTCGACAATGGTAAGAAAGGGCTGAACATGAGAAAAGATAAAAATTCCCATGGTAAATCGGACCTCTCACCTGCAAAATGACGGAATACGGCTATAAGGATTTATTAGACAAAAGTTAATTGATTTCGAGGACAAAACTGATGAATATGGAATTGAGGGACTACATTGACAGTTCGTCACCAATTGAGGGACCAAATAGTTAATTTTTCCTTTATTTTAGTAATTACCAAAATTTGAAGAATGGAGAGGAAACTCAAAATCACGAATTAAAAAATCATAATTAACATTTGTTTTCCTAATTTCAAAACTAATCTTGAATTAGCAAATATACATTTTAAAAGTGTAAATAAATAATAAAAATACATAATAACTAACTAATTAATTAATTATTTGATTTATTTCATTGTGTTTGGTGAATTTGAAATTCAATATATGTTTTAGGTTTATATTTAATAAATACATAGTAAAAAATTTTAAAAGAAAATTTGAGGGGGTGAAAAGAGAATTTTTATTTGTAATATAATAATATATATTTAAATATATATTACATTATTTAGGTTAGGGTGACGTGGGGTGTGGGGTGGGGGCCAAGGCCCCCCATAGCCCCATGTACCTCCGCCCCTCGCAGCAAAGAAGGAGTAGAAAATGGTGGCGGCGGCTATTGCTTGTTTGAAGAAGGAGAAGTAGAAGGGGGGAAATTCCTTAGACGAAATGGTATTTTTTTTAATAATAGCTATACAATGTCGGTTGTTACAAACAATTAACATCGTATATTATATTTAAAACATAAATGAAATATGCCTATACAATGTCGGTTACACCAAAATTTACGCCATATAGGTATTAATTTTGTTTTTTTTTTTTTAAAAAAAAAACATAGTTACGACGGCAGTTCGATGACGAACCGACGCCGTATCTTATATTTAAAAAAAAAAGCAAATACACCTATATGACGTTGGTTACACGAAAACCGACATCGTATAGGTATTAAGTTTTTTTTTTTTAAAAAAAAAAAAACTAAACATGTTACGACGTCGGTTCAATGACGAACCGACATCATAGCCTAAATTTTTAAAAAATAATAAAATAAAAAATATGTATACTATACGAGGTCAGTTATACCACAACCCACGTCGTGTTGATATTATTTAAAAAAAAAAGTTGATTACGACGTCGTAACCTAAATCTAAAAATTTTAAAAAATACTATACGATGCTGGCTATACAAACAACCGACAGCGAATAGTTTGTTAATTTTTGTATTTATTTAAAACGAATTACGACATCAGTTTTTACAAAAATAACTGACATTAAAAGTCTTGTTACAAAAATTATAAATTTATTTAATTTTTTGACATCGGTTTTGTAAAAAACCGACGTTATATGTGCGACGTTGTAGGTGATTTATGTTGTAGTGATTACATAGAATTTTTGCTCATAGCTCTAGTGACAATCTAGTAGATTTGTTCACTAACTCCCTGTCTACATCCACATTTAAGAGATATGTTCAGAAAATTTTGATGTATCTGCTTGGAAGATTGTTGTCTTAGGGGGAGCGACAACCTTTAGTTGTACTTAAATGGATTGTCTAGAAGACTCTTGAAATCCTGAAGATTATGCTCGGAAGGTTTATGGTTGTACTCTTTTTCCTTTAGTTACGTTTTTTTCCAACTGAGTTTTCTTAAGCTATGATTTTAATGAGGCAACTGGTGCAACACATGATGTACATTGATCATGCCCAAGGAAGTGATATAAATAATTATTATTTAACATGACCATTATCCCCACTATCCCATTATCTTTCCCCATTATTATCCCACCATCTTAGTTATTTATTATGCAAGTGTAATAGTTACCTTGTATATATGTGTATATGATACAATGATCAATAAACTGGTGGTTTTTTGGGAGTTCCTGCATATTTCAGTTTCTATTGCTTTCTCTCCTTCTCTTGTATGATTTTGAGCGGTGTTATATCATATATGGGTATAATTATACAAGATTTAAATGATCATACACATCAATTTCATAACAATCCCTATTGTAATTCTATGTTCTTTCATTCGCCCTACTAACTTCATATATCACATATTATTGGCAACATTGAACGACTTATATTCTTTCTTTTCTTAACATTTAATCCAATCACTAAGAAGCATGTAATAACTCCATAACAGTGAAGATTAATTTCGATCGACCATCTAGATTTATCAACAGTTTAGGATTTTATTAAAAAAAACGTAGGTGAATTTTATAATTATGAAAAACTTTTAAGTTTAAAATATTTATAAAATTTCCCAATCCCTTTTCATTTATTATTTACAAATACTCAACCGTTGGTCTACCCAAATGGATGGATTAGGCTAGTCTTCTGTTTTTACATGGGATCACGTTCTCAATTGAAATCTCCACATATATATTCCAAATTATTCTTTTTCACGCGCACTGCGTGAATGCGATAATGCTCAATGATTATTTTCAAATAAATAATTCAAAGTGTATTAATGCAAGATTATATAGGAGGTAGATGTTCATGCATATGTAATTTAATTGAATGTTGAGTTTGTTTATTTAAATCAATAACTCAAAGTATATAAATGCAATATAATATATGAGAGATTAATTATAATTGTCACTAAAAAAAATATTTTCAACTTGGTAAATAAGTAAATAAATAAATAAGTAAATAAATAAATAAATAAATAAATAAATAAATAAATAAATATATATATATATATATATATATATATATATATATATATATATATATATATATATATATATATATATATATATATATATATATATATATATATATAGTTATAATGATATAAAAGGTTTGAATAGTTGTTTAACAATTTTATTCGTATTTGATATTTTGTATTTGAACATTGTATTTGATCATTTTTTAATTCATTTTATCTTTGCTTTTTCGCCCCCACTCAACGTAAATCCTGGGTCCGCCACTAGAGGATGGTAATAAATAATTTGAAATATATGGTTACAATGGATATAGTTATAATGATATAAAATAAAAAAATTAACTTACAAATTATTTTCAGAAGTTTTATTATGAGAATGATGTGTAAAATTATTCAATTAGAGTCAGTGGGATGTCAACATTGTCAATTCTTTGGAAAATGGTCCTACCGTTTTAGAGTCTAGGTGTAATTGTATATCTGATCAACAACTTTGTAGTTAGATCGCGCACAATGATGTAAGAACAATTTTGTCTGATAAAAAAATAATTATGTTGAAGTTTATATTGTATTTGTTAACATATTTGTAGTATATGTTTAACAATTATGCCAACTCTAATTGGGATGAGGTTCGAACTTAAGAACTTTCTTATAGAAATTAATGATTAAGTTAAAAATAATAAATTGTTAACGAAATATTCCGTAACTAAAGTTTATTCTAACGAAATATTGAGTTATTTAAGGGAAGAAAATAATATAATAGATGGTAAATAAGGAAAATCATAAAAAAATACTAAAGTCAAAATAATATGAACCATTCATTTCAACCAACAATTACACTGCATCAATATAGTATTTAATGTTGTATTATATATTTTTGTTGTTTATTTTTTTTTTCTATTTTTTTGTTTATTCTTTTTTTCTTTCTTGAAATAGAGTCAATAATACAATTCCGTTTCCAGAACTTGTGGATCACACATCCAGATTTTATGCAGGTTATTTCCCGCAGCTGGTCTGCAACGACAGACGGGGGAGGCATGCGGGCTCTGGCTTATAAGCTCAAGCGTCTTAAAATTGCTCTGCGCGGGCCTGGAACAAAGATTCCTTTGGTAACATCTTTGACAGGATCAAGTGTCTAGAGGCAAGTGTGTCTATAGCAGAAGATGATTATGCAACAAGTCCCACGGGGGACAACCGGGCATCGCTGCATAAAGTACAAGCTGACCTTGCCCTTGCGCTCAAGCAAGAGGAATGTTTCTGGAGGCAGAAAGCACAGGTAAAGTGGCTCAAAGTGGGGGATGCCAACACCTAGTACTTTCACACAATGGTCAAGGACAGGCATCGACGGCAGAGAATCAGTGCAATTAAGTCGGGAGATGGAGTGCTTCTGACCTCCCAAGCAGACATCCAGTTGGAGGCGGTCTCTTTTTACTCTAAGCTGTTTGCGCGGAGGACTGTTCGGGAATGGAAGATTTACTGAGTTGCCTACTGGATAGCCTTGCTGCATCAGATGCGATCACCTAGTGGCCCCGATTACGCTAGCCGAAGTGAAGAATTCTGTCTCGAAGTTGGATCCCGACAGTGCTGCAGGCCACGATGGTTTCTCGGGCTCTTTCTTCCGGCACTATTCGGCAGTTGTCCAAAATGATGTATATCATGCTGCGATGGATTTTTTTGTCGATAGTGCTTATACCCAAAAAGCCACACCCGGAATCTTTCACGGACTTCAGGCCCATTTGTCTTTGCACTTTCATCAGTAAAGTGCTTACCAGAATTGTAGCTTCGCGGCTTAGTCCAATTCTCCCTAAAATAATTTCAAAAGAGCAAGCGGGCTTTGTGGAAGGGCGAAGTATACAAGACAACGTTCTTCTGGCTTTTGAGCTCTTACAGTATCTTGACAAGAAATGCCGGGACTCGAATGTTGTCGTTAAACTTGATATGATGAAAGCATTTGACCGGGTGGCGTGGCCTTTCCTCAGTGCTGTCTTATCAAGGCTTGGCTTTCCACCTGCCTTTGTCACCATTGTTATGAATAACCTCCTGGCGACGCGGCTTTCAGTTCTAGTTAACGGAGTGAGTTGTGGTTTCTTTCAGCCGTCTAGAGGTGTAAAGCAGGCTCTCATCGCTTCTCTTTATCTTGGTTTCTGAGGCCCTGTCCCATTCTCTTATATTGAAGTTGGGTGTTGGCATGGTCTCGCCTTATTCTACGGCCGCCTGCTGCCCTATGGTTACTCATCTGGCCTTTGCAGACAACATTGTCATTTTTGCAAATGGGGCTTCGGGCTCCTTAAAGGCGCTTGCAGAGGTTCTTAAAAAGTATGAGGCAGCCTCTGGTCAGAAAATTAATTTTCATAAGAGTTTTTTTGTCACAGCTCGATCGTGCCCGAGTCACCGTGCATCTGCCATAGCCCGCATCCTTGGTATGCAGCAGTCTTCGCTGCCTTTTCGTTATTTGGGAGTTAATTTATTCAAAGGCCGGAACCGCCCAATATTTTATAAACATCTATTAGAGAAGATTGATGGCAAGTTAGTATCATGGCATCGAAAACTGCTTTCCCCAGGTGGCCGTCTTACTCTTATCAAGCATGTTCTGGCGATGATCCCTCTATACACCGTAGCCTCGGTGATGCTTCCTCGCCAAACGGAGAAAGCTATTGAAGTTAAATTTGCCAGATTTTTTTGGGGTTTAGTGGAAGGTCGTCCGAAGAGGCATTGGGCGGCCTGGTCCAACCTTGGCCTTCCCGTGGAGGAGGGGGGCTTGGGCATCAGATTTCTTAACCCTATTCAACATGCTTTCTCGGCTAAGCTCTACTTCCATTATTTGCAGGGAGGCACGTTATGGAGTGAGTTTATGCGCGCTAGTTATCCAGAACACCGTGAGCGGGCAGCCCCCTCTCTCACGTGGCGTCGCATGCAGGACTTAACGGAGTTCGTCACCGAGCACACGGTGAGCGGCTACTCGGGATCCCAGGTATGGTCTCTTTCGACTTATGGCAATTTTACCTTTTCTTCAGCGTACAATGCGCTCCGACCGACAGGTGGTCGCTGTCTTTCCGCCTCTGGGGCGGGGGCTGCCTTCAAAAGTGTCTATTTTCATGTGGAGATTGCTACGCCGTTTGCTGCTATTTTCGGATATTCTACAGCGGTTTGGTTTTTCTATGCCCTCGGTATGCCCATTCTGCCGGAGGGGTTCTGCCAGTCTAGGTCACTGCCTCCTCAGTTGTGCTAACATACAAGAACTCTGGATTTATTTTGCTAATATTTTTGCCTTGCAGGGCCGTTGCCAGCTCGATACGTTCGCAGTGTCATTCATGGTTGTTATTGGCTCCAGCCGGATCTGCTACAATATCTTATGGTTCCTATAGAAGGCCTACAATGTCTGCCTTCACGAGGGTACTGATTTTTCACCAGCCGGCTCCATTCACATGATTACGAGGCCGGGAGGCCTTTTTAATATCTCTGTCTCACCCGATTAAAAAGAGCGGGCACAATGATGACTTCCTTGTATCGGCTGGTCTTTTTACGGGCTTTGCTTCCCCGCTGCAGCGTACGACAATTTGTGTAAAATGGCTTCACCCACCCAAAGGAAGATTGAAATTAAACACAGATGCTGTTTTTTCGAATGCTGGGGCAGCGGGCGGCCGCTTTGAGGCTTATGTAGGCTTATTGTAGGCTTATGAATGCCGGGGATCTCGTGGCCAACTAATTGTAGGCTTATGCTTCCGCTTTGAGGCCTCGTCAGCCATGGAAGCCGAAACTCTATCTCTTCAGCTGGCTGTACAATGTTGGGCTGCCTTTGCCATGGCTCCTTTTGCTGTGGAAGTCGACTCTCTCTCCCTCACCAACTTGATCTCTGCGCAGGATATAAGGATTCCATGGAGAATTGAGCCAGCAGTTTTTTACGTTCGGTCCACTCTTTGTTTATGGGGTTCCAGTATTCGACATATTTACAGGGAAGCCAATCACGTTGCGGACGCTCTTGCAACAGTTGGCCTCGGCTTTAACACTTCAAAAATTTTTCATACTTTACACTCGCTGCCTTCTGCGGCTAAGCTGGCCTTACTGTTTGATGTAAGGGGTTTTGCCACGCGTCGGTCTATTCGTTGCTAATAAAACCTGTTTTTCGTTGAAAAAAAAAATTACTTTTAATATATGAATTACTTTCCTATTAATTCTTAAAATTATATATAGTAAATTGATAATATTTATTCGTATTGAGGCATAAATTTAATATAACGTTGACTAATAATAGTAATAGCATGCATATTTAATTAGTATTTGATGTAAGCACTTTGTGCTTAGATGGCATGAGTGGCTTTCCCATATGGGAGGTCGGAGGCGATGTTGACTCTTTGTGCTTTCTCAATAGTTTGAGAAAGTATAAATGCACAAATATTAGAATGTAATAGAGTTAGTAGTATTTACAAAAAAAAAGTAGTATTTAATGTTGTATTATATATTTTTGTTGTTTATTTTTTTTCCATTTTTTTGTTTATTTTTTTTCTTTCTTTAAATATAGTCAATAAAAGTTCGTTTTATTGAAAAAAAAATGGAACGATAAAATTACCGTTAAAAAAAAAATACCACATACAAGTGATAATCTCATTATACATTTCTTTAATGCCAGAGATTACAAGTATATATCAGTTTAATTGCTAGAATCGTTAGAAAAGTCATTGAATGGGTCAAAGAAATTGAGGAATGCTAGTCCAAGTTTCATGGAAACGGGAAAGAAGGACAATAATTCTAGGATACGAAACACGTGGGAAAGTACAAATATTAAAAATATAAGTGTGTATTTACAAATATTTTTTGTTCATTTATGCATAAATATTAATTGTTTATCAAATTCTTATTATTAGAAAAGGTATTTTAAAATTTACTAAGATTAGAGAAATCTTTTTTAAATATTTTATAATGTTTTCAAACATTTATGGATGGAAATATTTCTCCATTGGAAAAAATATAATTATTATGAATTTCCATTTAGAAAAATGTCACGCAAGACCTGACGTCATTCAATAGGTATATCTCTCCTATATAACATTGGCTAAACTTCACTCTCCAACACCGGCGAGTATACAATGTAAAAATTGAGACAATCTCTGTTCCTTTTTTTTTTTTTTTTTTTTTTTTTTTTTTTTATGATCGGTGTCTTGTGAGTTACGTTCTAAGATTGAACTTTTGCATGTTTTTCATTTACCCCATTGATGTTTTCTTTGATCTTTATTTTTATATCTTGTGAGAGATATCAAGAATACCTTTCCAGTAATTTGTTCTCTGTTTCATCTTTTTTAAATCTTTAATTATATATATAAGATTTTTTAGTGAGATTTTTTTGGTCTTGTGTTTAGTTATTTTATATGGGTTGCCTTGATCTTTTTAGCCATACTAGTAGTCATAACTTTGCTTGTTGGTTCATTTTTGGAATTTCGTTGTAGAGATCTATTTCTTTTTAGTTCTACTATACACTTGCACTTAAACACCTAGGCATGGTAGATTTTTTTTGAGGAATTATATTTTTTAGATTTCATTGATCATTAGTTGAATTGAGAGTGCTTTTTAAAGATCAATATGATTTTGATATAATATATTTGTTGATTTTTTACATTAGAATTACCTTTGCAAACTGTAAATCTTTATCTAAATGTTTCGAATTTTTACTTTTATTTTTATCGGACCTGAGTATAATTAAGATTGGTTTTGCTATAATGTTTTTGTTTATGTACTACTTTGTTTTTCTTCGTGATCTGAGCCACTCTAGAAATACATTTCTTGATTTTGATTCCTTGTTTCTTTGTTAAAAATGTTATGTGTTTTTTTTTTTTTTTTTTTTTTTTTTTTTTTTTTTTTTTTAGATTTGATTATATATAAGATTTTTCTAAGAGATTTTTTTCAACTTGGTTTTCATTGTACTCTGTTACTTTGATATTTTTAATTGGACTACTAATTTTAGTTAGGAACATTTGTGGTGACGTCCATATCTCCTTGTTGCTGTGTAGAACAGAAAAGAAGTAGACATGTGCAACAAAGTCCCCAAATATAAACAAGAAGCAAAGTTAATATTAGTAGTCCAACTAAAAATATCAAAAAAACAATAGAGCACAATAAAAACCAAGTTGAAAGTGGTATTTTCTTGTGCTTGATAGGTTAGTGAGTGGTACTTTATAGGTAAAAAACCTCCACTCTTGTGAAAGTTTTATGCAAATTAATTTTGTTGGTATAAATTTTTCCTTTGTTAACTACTCAATTCTAAGTATCACAAAATAGATATAAAGAACTTAAACATGTGACACCTATATAGCCTTGTATAAGTTAAATATTCTTAAACATTATTATAATAATATTATTATTAATTAAATCAAGTCAAACAAATGTGTGCATGCGTGGTGTAAATGGCAGGGACGGAGCTAGATATTTCGTTGAGAGGGGGCAAAGAAGCAGCAACAGATCCATTAATTTTTTCGAGTGAAGGTGAAACATTAAAACAAAAGAGATAATTTTTTAAAAACAAACAAATTACCCAAAAAATATAGGTATAAATATTATTGGATATGACAAAAATAATTTGAATAGAGAAGACATTATAAATAATTTGACAAAAATAATTTGAATAGAGAAGACATTATAAATAATTTGACAAAAATTATTTGAATAGAGAACACATTATAAATAATTTGACAAAAATAATTTGAATAGAGAACACATTATAAATTACACATCTCATTTTTAATGTGTGTGTGTGTGTGTGTGTGAGTGTGTGTGTGTTTTATTAAATATTAAAAAATCTATTAACAATGTGATTGTGTTGAAACCAATAGAAATTGTAAAATTATAATCATGCCAATCGAAAGATTCAACCTCTAGACCTTTTAAATATTCACCATAAACAAACACATACTCTACCAACTAATCTATCACACTCCTTATTAACATTCATTTGTTTATTTATACTAATACTAAAACTGGTACTATATATACATATATACATACAACTATTATATATGGGGTGGGGGTGGGGTGAGGGGGGCAACTGCCCCCTGCCCCACTGGCTCCGTCCATGGGTAGTGGCATACGATTGTGGAGCAGCTTGCAGTACATACAATCATGGGGGCTTTACTATCTAAATTAATGTTTTTGTTAGTTTTTTCATTCCCTATAAATAGTTAGCAGATATATGTTAAAGTCATCAAGTAAAATTCATTCTCTTTTAATACACAAGCTTTGGTTTCTTCTCTAAAAATTTCCTTCACATTTTCTCCGGTTAAATTCTATATTATAGATATTTCCTTCAACCCCGAGATATTTCCCGTAGTGAGATATGGCAGCAAATTACAGTATTGTATGGTCGGGTCCCAATTATGATAACCATACATTTGAAAGCTCAAAATCTTTAGAGCTTTGTTGATCTTGGTTTACCCAAAGGAGCTGATGCAGCCTCTATACGGCTAGATCAATTGGCATTAGGACAGATTCACCAAAGTGTTCATTGCTCCATTTTTGGGCAATTAGCTCGTGCTCAAACATCATGACGCACTAACAAATTCCAGTGGATAGGTGGCGGGTGGAGGACCACCCACTAGCTACCTGCCGGCAGACACTCACTATTCCAGCGGGTGGCTGGCGGGCAGGCCACCGCTCGCAAGCTGCCCACTGGAACAGTGTTCCCGGGCAGTGGGAAGGTGGAGGGTACCCGTGCCCCCACCTACCCGCCACTGATACTCAGACAACTTTTCAGTCCCAGGGTTTCTCGTGGATCCCGAAACCATGTCCAGACACATTTAAAAACATAACGACAACACCACGTATTCAATTAACGAGATTAAATCCAGAATCGTACCAAATATGTTCTAACACGATTCCTAAATATGTCAAGACTCCATATTAATCATATAACAGTTCCGGAGCATCCGGAACCACAAGAATATCAAGAAGTCTATATGCAAAGCCTACAATCCTAGGCAAGACTCAACACCCGATCATGCATAATCCCACCCAAATATATCAAGAACATCATAATACGAAATTCACGGTATAAACCCAAGGGCTCTAGAAATAATTAAAATACGAGATCATACATATAATCAATCACAATATCAAGAACATCAAGATTATCAAATAAACACAATATGAATCCTAATCAAAGCTCTATCAAGACTCAATCACAGAATTACACATACGATTACCAAAGGAGCCAATGAATAAGATATAGCGAGGAAAATAGGTTTTTTAAGACATGGGTTACCTCTTAGCCCTAATCAATATCCTTGGCTACTAAGGTTCTTCTCTAAGATTTCCCTCCAATGGATTCCTCTCAGTTTAATTTGGTGGCAGGGGATTCCTTTGCTAGGTTTCCTCGGGAATATCTTGCGTGGTAGAATTACCTGTGGTAGGGTTTCTAAATGCTTTCTAAGTCCCTATATATAGATTTGGGAGTCTTAATTTCATTGTGGACCATACTAATTAATTAGCGGGATAACTAGTCTGATTAAATCCTTTTTAATTATATGTTAACGGAATTAATTTCATAATTAGTCCGAATACGGAGGCCGTAACATGGGGTGTTACAGATGATCCAGTAGTTTTTTTATCTAAAGGTTTCTCTAAATTTTTGCAACACGTAAAACAACGACAAAATGGAAAATTTGGCAAGTTTTAGGGTAAAAAAGGATCAGGGTGGAACGCTACTCGAAACAACCAAAAACAAAACACTTCAAATCAACGTTCAGGTACATCACGAAACTCTCAATTCAAAGAAAAATCCGGGGGCAAAGGGATCAGGTGCTATGAATGTGAAGGATTTAGCCATTTGCAAGCCGAATGTCCAACATACCTAAGACGTAAGAAGTCTATGAAGGTTGTTCTTACCTGGAGTGATGATGAGGAATCGGAACCTGATCCAGGATCTGATCCAGACGAGATCTCCGGGAACTTTGTTGCTTTCACGGCCATCACCAACACAATGCCAGAATTAGAGAGTGATGAAGACTCATAAATTGAAGAATATGTGTCATATGAAGATCGAGATTTACCAGTTCCATCATTCGAGTTAGAATATAAAAAACTGTATGCAAAATGGGAATTCTTGTAAAAGTGAATAGATGTTTGTC